TAGTAAAACCACTCCCAAAAGATAAATCTGGTCACTAAATATTGAAGATAATGAAATTAACGAAGCCCTCAAGTATCATTTCTACACTTCCCATATTAACCCCTGACATTCTAAATATTAGCATTTAGTGTTCATTTGATTGCAGTGAAACCAGAGCCTCCACTGACTCTTGGTAGCCTGGTAAATTTTATACAACATGAGGGTAAAGCATTGCAAAAAATGTTGGTTCTCTTCAGCCAACTGATTCTATCCCTAAGATTTTATACAAGGAGAGGTAGTATTAAGAGTTAAAAATCAAATGCACAAAGATAAGTGTTCACTGACAGGTAATCTAATTGCCAGTATCTGGAAATATCTAAGTGTTCTAGAATCGGGGATGGCTACCTTCTTCTTAAAGGCAAAGACAGTAAACGCTTCTGGCTTTGCAGACCACATATAGGCAGCGTCTGTCTCAGCTCCCCAGCTCTGTCATTATAACACGAAAGCAGCTACAGACAGCACGTAAGCAAGGAGAGGGCCTGTGCTCCAATAAAACTTTATTTACAAAAACAGGCAGCAGGCAAGATTTGGCCCATAGTCCCCTTTTCTATACTAACATGATTCTCAAATTTTGAAACAGCAAAATATGATTCAACATTTAGTAGCCAATTTAGGGTCCCATAGAAACTTGGAAAAATGTAAGTGATGCAATGTTAAAAGTTAAACACCAGTAAAAGATGTACAATGGAAATTATGAAAAGCGTGTGTATGAATAGAAAATGGCTGAATGGGAGCATACAAATGAAAATGAAATAAAGATTGCAGGATGATGGGTGTGCCAATAATTTGAAGTTTGCCATTTACACTTCGGACTTTTGCACAATGCCTCAGGCAACAAACCGACGTTTGAGGTGGACAGGACACCATGGCACTGCCCTGAGGCCAGATTGCGGTTGCTGTGGCTTCCTCATCCGCTGCACCCCGAGAACATATCTTCATTCATTCAGTTGTTCATTACTTTATTTAAAATTGGTTTATTAACAAATGATTGAACATCTTTTCCATGCCAGATGAAGTGGGAAGTGATGAAGAGATATTATATATTTCAAAACATCATGTACACCATAAATACATATGCTTTTTCTTTTCTCTTTTCTTTTTTTTTTTTGAGAATAGTCTTGCTCTGTCTCCCAGGCTGGAGTGCAATGGTGTGATCTCTGCTCACTGCAATCTCCACCTCCCAGGTTCAAGCGGTTCTCCTGCCTCAGCCTACCAAGTAGTTGAGATTACAGGCATCCACCACCACACCAATTTTTGTATTTTTCGTAAAGACGGGGTTTCACCATGTTGGCCAGGGCTTGAACTCCTGACCTAAGGTGATCTGCCCGCCTTGGCCTACCAAAGTGCTGGGATTACAGGCTTGTGAGCCACCATGCCTGGCCTACATATGTTTTTTGTCAATTAAAAATGAGCCAGGCATGCAAATAAATAAAAAAAATCCCTGCTAATACTTTCTGACTGTGATACATGCTGGGAACAAGATGACTTGGAGCAACGAGGCAGAGAGAGGACCTTAATCAGGGTCTTCAGTGAAGATCTGGGGAGGCAGAGACAAGGCCAGCATGGCTGGAGCCTGGAGGACAGTGGGTGAGGCCGAGAGTGGAGTCAGGGCAGGCAGGGCCCTGGCATTAGCGCAGCTGCATGGAAACATCCCGCAAGTGATCCAACGTGAGCCAGTAAGAAGAATCAGGTGATATCAACTTTAGTAATGCATTTTATGCAACCCCATATATCAAAACGATTCATCATACCAATATGTAATCAGTGCAAATATTATTAATATGATACTTTCTATTCTTTTCTTTCTCTGCCTTTGAAATCTGGCGCCCAGCATGTATTTTATACTCCAGTATCTTTTTTTTGTTTGTTGTTTTGAGACACTCTTGGTTAGTTGCCCAGGCTAGAGTGCAATGGAACAATCTCAGCTCAGTGCAACCTCTGCCTCCCGGGTTCAAGCAATTCTCCTGCCTCAGCCTCCCAAGTAGCTGGTACTACAGGCAGACACCACCACAGCCCGCTATTTTTTTTTTTTTTTGTATTTTAGTAGGGACAGGGTCTTACCATGTTGCCCAGGCTGGTTGCAAACTCCTAAGCTCAGGCAATCCGCCCGCCTCGGCCTCCCAGCGTGCTGAGATTACAGGCGGGAGCCACCACGTGCAGCCTACTCCAGTATCTTTATTTCAAGTGCTCAGAAGCTGTGTGTGGCCTGAGGTGCTGTCCTGGACAGTGTGGCCCCGAGATTTTCGGGGCTTTGGTGTCTGGGAAGTCCCCCTGAGATGAGAAGGCTCTTTTCCTGGGAAAAAAATGAATTTTTGGCCAGATATGTACTAACCTCTGCGAAGTACACACTTTGAGTAAAGACAGTTGAGCAAGGCCCTTCCCTGGCGGATCTGACAGTCGAGGTCTGAGAAGGGCATTGAGGGTGAAGTCACTGGGTGTCTTCAGGAGGGAGAACTGGGGATGCTAAGTGGGGTGAGGGCACAGAAAAAGACCTGGGAGGGGCAGAGGGAGAGCAGGCACTCACATTTCCTTATTTTATCCAGACTCAGGCGTTTTCTTCCTCTTTGCTGCAGAGGAAATTGAGTCACAGTAGGTTGACTAAGTTGTCAGTGCTGGACAGCTGATAGACGGTAGAGCTCTGGGAAGCTCTGGGACTCCTGGAGGGTTGTGGAAAATCCTGGAAGCTTTGAGAGGACTTGGCCATGGGCAACCTTCAGGGAGGTCCGCCAGGCCCTCTGGCATACCCAGTATTGCCTCATTTAGCACCCCCACATTCCTGGGACAAGATTCCAAGAGAATGAGGTGGAACAGTAAGGTTGCAGTGGCTCAGCTGCTCCTGGCTCTAAATAGCAGAATGCCTGAGTGAGAGTAGTGTCAGCAGTGATGGTCTTGAGTGGCTCCACAGAAGTCTGCAGGCCGGGGATTCTGCAGGCAGGTGGATTCCAAGTGTGGCTCAGCAGCATCACTGCGAGTGGGCACCTCCTCTCGTCCAGTTCCCCAGCCTCTGCAAGGGCTGATGTTAACCTCATGATACGGGGGCTCCAACGACAGGCCCCGCCTTCTCACAGAGTAAGACCCAAAGACAGGGTTGCAGGGGGGACTCCCGTCCCAGGAATCTCTTCACTGGGGAGAAAGAGCTTTCCCAGAAGCAGATCTCTCTGAGAGACCCCCTGCTGAGCTCCCCTTGAATTCTGAGGTTGGAGTGAACTGGGTCCATGGGGGCCACGCTTAGCTGCAAGGCATGCTGGGAAATTGAGTGCCTTTAGCAGTTTTGGTGCCTATTATGGGATGTGGATTGTGTCAATGAGGAAGGAAGCTGATAACCAGCAGGGGAGCCGTGCCTCGCTGTGCGGCATCCACAGGTTCACACCCACAGCTTCAACCTACCTCACACTGAAAATATTCCAGAATCGATCCCAATACAAATAACAGTGCAACCATAAAAATAATACCAAAACACAGTATAACAACTATGCACATAGCATTTACATTGTATTAGGTATCATAAGTAACCTACAGATGATTTAAAGTATATGGGGAGTGTGCATTGGTTATATGCAAACACTGTGCCGTACTACAGAGGGACTCAAGCATCCGTAGGTTATGATATCTGAGGGGGACCTGGAATCAATTCTGCATTTCTAGGATACGGAATTGACTCCTCCCATGTTCATCACCAAGTTACTTCCTTGGGATTCATCTTGTAACAGTAATCTGGGTGCACATTTCCCTAGCTAGACTGACGGGTTGCCTTGTTCATCTCCATATCTTCAGCACAGTGCTGGGCATGAAGTAGGTTTTGAACAAACAGATGAATGAATGAGTGATTCAGAGTATCTCAGGATTCAGCTGCAGACCCATCTCCTCCTGGTGTCAGCCCACCTCCCCGGCTGTCACATGGGTCTGCCTGGACTCTCTTGCAGCTAGGAGCAGGGATGGAGGCGTTTGTTTAGGTGTGAGTTATTTCTAGGAGCCTTCCAGGAGCCAGGTCCCAGTTAGGTGCTGGGGATGGTGAGTGGGACACATGATGTCTCCCATTAGATAGTCAATGAATCATGCAAATGAAGGAGACACTTGTGGTGGAGAGGGGCAAGTCACCCCGAGAGCTGGCCCAGCCTGGGCTGGTGGTCAGGGGCATGGTCCTGGGGAAGTGACAGTGAGTTGGCACTGGAGGAAGGGGAAGCTGATGGGTGGGGGGGGGGGGCAAAGGTCAGCAAAGCTTTCCAGGTAGAGGGACAGCACGTGATGTCAACATCTTGTGGCAGGTGGGGGAAACAGAGTAAGCACCGTGTGTCTGTGGCCCACCTGGCAGCCCTGGATGAGGCTTGGGTGGGCTGCAGATCTGGAGGGAAGGTGATGGTGGGAAGCCCACCTGTGCCCGCTTTAGGACAAGCCAACCCTAAATTAGGATGGGGAAGAGTTATGATCAACAATGGCCCCCACCTCCTGAGAAGATGGAGGGGGTTCCCTAGAGCAGGTGAACCCCATGGCCCCCCACTTCCCCGCCACCTCCCCACCCCTCTATTCTCTAGCTCTCTCTTCCTGGAGGGCCCTGGTCTTAGACCTGGCCTCTTCCCCAGCTGTGCATGAGGGCGAGTCTTGGCCAGGCCCTGTCTAAGCCTCGGGGAGGGCACTTGTGGCTACGCCAGTCTTGCCTGGGTCTTGGGACAGCCTGAGATTTATGTCCAAGATCCGTGAGCTTAGAACTCCTCATGTTCGCCCTGCGGATGTTTCACGTGCAATTTGGGAAATTGGGAATGCTCAAAATAGAATTTGCCCGTAAAATCGCCTGAAATGCAGTCCAAATGTGTCTGTAAAAAGTAACCAACGAGCTATTTATTGTTATTAGTTCACGTTCTTCAGGCTTCCACGTGGGGCTGGGCGTTGATTTAATCGGGTGCCAGACGAGTTTGGGGGTGACCTCAGAGGCTGACGTGGACATGCTGGGCTCTGTTTTGCAGAGAGAAGCCGGTAATCAGCACATTCTCCTCACTGGCTCTGACATCTGACCAGGACACTTGCAGAAAGCCCCGCTGGCCTTTCCAAGACATTCTTCTTAAGGTAAATTCCTAAAAAACCCGGCAAGAGTCCAAGCCTGTGCATACATATGCCAAAATCTAGAAAAAAGGAGCAGACTATAAGATGATAAAATTATAATTAGGCAATCCCCTTCCAAAAGAGCCCATAGCAATCCATTGCTTCTATTCTTATTTTGGTAAAGTACACCTCACATACGAGTCACTATTTTAACCATTTCGAAGTGTAGATTCAGTGGCATTTAGTACATTCACAGCACAGGGCAACCATTGCCACAAACTCCAGAACATTTTTACCGCCCGCAGAGGAAACCCTGCACCCACTCACAGACCCTCCCCATTGTCCCTCACCCCAGCCCTTGTCAACCGCAAGCCTGCCTTCTGTCTATATGGATTTGCTTTTTCTAGATGTTTTGTGGAAATGGAATTATGCGCTATGCAGCCTTTTGTGTCCAATGAGCACATGAAAAGATGCTCACCATCATAAGCTGTCAAAGAAATGCAAATCAAAACCACAAGGAGATGCCACCTCACACCCACCAGGATGGGTGTCATCCAGGAATGGAAAGTCACCAGCATTGGTGAGGGTGTGGGGGAACTGGAGCCTGCATTCACAGCTGGTGAGGGACAAATGGTGCCATTGCTGTGGACACCCACCGCTTCCTAACAATCACTCAAGACTCAGCTGCTGGCTGGGCTTGCTCGGGCTGAAGGAAAAGGAGCCAGTGGGGGTCCCATGCCTGTTGGAGCCCCAGACCTCCCGCGTAGCAGCCGTGTGACCTTCAAGAATTCACTCGACCTCTGTGAGTCTTTGTTCTTCATCTTTTACCTCCCAAGATTCTGTGAGGCCAAAATAAATCACAAGGATGGCTGGTGAGGGCCTCCCCATGTGTCCCCTGCAGCCCGTCTGGCCTGGTTCCTTCCTGAGTCTATCCGTCGTGCACCACCCACCCCCTCCACCTCTTGCCACAGGGCTGGGGCTCAGTGTCTCACACAGGCAGTTCCTGCCCCAGGGCCTTTGCACTTGCTGGAGCCACCTGGAATGTGCCCTCCCTCACCTCCTTCACACTTCTATTCAAACTCCACCTTTCAGTGACACCTGCCTTCAGTGCCCTACCAAAAGCTCTGACCCCTTCCCTAGCCCTGAGCACTCCTGCTGCTTTACTCCTGTCAATTACAGCACAGTGACTTTTACTTTTTAGCTTTATGAACTCCCTTTCTTTCCAACAGAATGTAAACAACACAAGTGCTAAGTAGTGTCGGTCTACTCAACACCAGCTCCTGAGCATGAGGCTGGCGCAGAGGGGCCTTTCAAAAGATGCTGTTGGAACGATGGACAGACTGTTGACTCCACATGAGGTAGGTGTCTTGAATGACACGTGTGCCAGACAGGTTTCCTTGCACACACGGAGGTCAGGATCTTCCTCGAGACAGCCTTGTCTCCCTCGCTGCACGCGGCCCAGCGCACCCACGTTGTGAGGGGTGCACAAGAAGACAGGCTGGCGCACGCTGAGTTTGGCTCTTGTTGGGAAGCAGCACAGACACCCTGGTTCTGGCTTAGGTGACAAATGGGGAAGTTATAAGGATACAGGGACGTGGCTGGACCTTGGAGGGGGATGGACAAGTCCCCAGGAAGGTGCAGGAATTCTGTCTCTGTTTTCCTCCCGCTGTCCCTTCCCTCTTTCCTGTTTCGTCTCTCTGTTTCTCCTGTCCCTCTCGCCCCTCTCTCAGTGCCCTCGTGCTTTCCTCCGTGGTTCCTCTCCCCCCACCCATGTGGTCCACGTCTGGGAAACATTTCCCCAGGAGTGTGTATCTAACAACCTAACAGTGCGTGCATTCTCTCTCTCAGTCCCGAGTCCAAGTTCCCTGTTTGGGGATTCTGATCTCCTTTTGAGGCAGGCCATCAGCTATGTGTGAGGCACATTGCAGAAGAAGGCTTTAGGGTGGGAGTTGGGGGACAGAGGGGTGAGCCAGGCAGTTAAGGGACTCCGTCATGAACTGGGAAGCCTTTGCAAACACTGCTCACCACACGAAGGTAAAGGGGATACAGGCTACACACCCACATTTCTTCATTTGCCCACTTGCCCATCAAGTACCTCTTGGGCTCCTACCTCATGCCAGCCACTGTTCTAGGGTCTGGGTCTACATCAGTGGATGAAATATATAGACATTCCTACCTTTATTAAACTTACAACTGGTAGAGGAAAGGGTGCTTAGAGAAGTAAACACGTGACCGCACAGTCCTTAGTGCTTGGAGAAGCTCAGTGAGGTGAGATGACAGTGAGGGCAGCAGGGCAGCGGTGCCTTGGCCCCTGGCGGGCAGAGAAGGCCTCCCTGAGGACCTGAGTGAAAGGGATGAACCAGGCCGCACTCCAGGCAGGTGGCCCAGCCTGTGCAAAGGCCCTGTGGCAGGTGCACGTGTGTGTATGAAGACAGGAATGTGGGAGAAACATTTGGGGGCAGACACCTGAGTCTGGCAGGCCATGCACAGGCGGGAGAGCCCGCCTACTTCCAGCCCCTTCCGCAGGCATCAGGCCACCCCCACGTCCTTTGTTGCTGCCGTGAAAACATCTCAAGAGAACAACAGGGCTTCTCTGGGGACCCGAGACTGACAGAACCTGCAATTTGGAGCTTAGTTGCTTAGATTGGAGTCTCAGGGAAGCCACTGGCTGCCTATGGAACTCCGACCTGCTGCTTGGCCTCTCGGGCCTCGGTTTCCCCATCTGTAGGGTGGCCCTAAGAGCTGCCCCCAGGGCCATGAGTGTCCCATGAGGTCTCGCACGGGCACCTATGGTGCCCAGTGGTCAAGTCCCACTTCAGGGCAGCGTGTTTGTATCTCTGGGCCCCGAGGAGGGCTCCACTCGGGAAGGTAAACAGCTGCGGGAACTGTAAGGCTGCAATTGTGCGCCTGCCGACGGCAAAGATTACAGAGCTCGTTTTTCAGGGATCTGTGATGACAGTTGCGGCCCGGGGTTGGGGGAGCCTCAGCTGGCTCCCTCCGCTGCTCCAGCCTCCTGGCTGGCTGTGCGGGAGCTGTGGTGGAGAATGAGGGCTGTGCCTGGCGGCGGTCTGTGTGCCTGTTGGACAGATGGAGGCAGGCTCAGAACGAGTGACTTTCAGGCGGCTGCAAGGGGGACAGGCTGTCTCGCTTGTCAACCCCCTTCGCCGTGTCCCAAGCAGGAGGCAGAAATTCTTGACAGGAAAAGCTGAAAGATAGGTCCCCACTGGACCATATAGATAATCTGCCGGGGGCCTCTAAACCCCAGGAAAGGCCAGGGCCTGCCAGAGGCCTCACCCTGAGGGTCCCCGGGGCCCTGTCAATCATGGCCAACGCAGGAGCAGTGGGGACGGGTCAGGCCGGCGTTTAAGAAAGCCCGGCATTGTTTTTAAAGGTTAACCCGTTTGCATCTTGGGTTTCATTGGGAAGTCTGTGTGGTCACACCGGCCAATTTAGCATTTGTTGGGAGCTGGGTGAGACGGGCCGTGAGGAACAGCCCCCTGGGGGCCCTCCGGTAGTTCTGTGGTCATGACTTATGGGGAACACAGGCGGAGAAAGGGCGCATTTTTATCCCATATTTGGTGATGCGGTGGGCTTCAAGTTCTTCTTTCTCTCTCATTTGTCAGGATCTTAATGAGAAACCCCAAAAGGATTTAGAGATTTCCCTTTCCCAAGGACAGGAAATAAATGGGAACTTTCTAGGGAATTAGGGGAAAACCTGTTGCAACTTAAGACAGTAGCCTTTGTTGTCTATTTGTGTGTGAGTGTGAGAGAATGAGAGTGTGTGTTAGAGAGACAGAGACAGAGAGAGATAGGAACAGAAGGAGAGAGACAGAGACAGAGAGACCAGAGACAGACAGAGAGAAACCAAGAAAAAACAGAGAGAGAAAAACAGAGTGAGACAGAGACAGGGAGAGATGGACACACAGAGAGAAAGATAGAGAAAGAGAGAGAGAGAGATAGAGACAGGGAGAGAGAGAGAGAGACAGAGAGAGAGAGAGAGAGAGATAGAGAGAGAGAGAGACAGAGACAGAGAGGGACCAGAGAGACAGAGAGAGAGACCAGAGAGAGAGAGAGGGACAGAGACAGATCAGAGAAACCAGAGAGAGAGACCAGAGAGGGACACAGAGAGATGCTAGAGAGAGAGAGAGAGAGACAGAGACAGATCAGAGACAGTGACAGACAGACAGAGACCAGAGAGACAGAGAGGCCAGAGAGAGACAGAGATACCAGAGTCACAGAGAGAGTCATTCTTCCCTGTAGCCCAGTCCCCAGTCCCTCCCCAAAGCACTGGGTGAGTGTCTCAGGGGCCTTCTTGATGTTTTCTTTCTGTTTCTGAGCAGACATACAGAAAAAAACCCGCTTTCCTTTAAAAAAAAAAAAAAGATTCTGGCAAATACTGTCCAAACGCTTTCAAAAGAAGTTGACCAAATTGATGTTTCTGTGGCAGGAGCCCACGGGTGCGTGGCTCAGATGTCCCTCACGTCAGGAGAAACCCTGCTGTGGGGTGAGGGTGGCTGGCGCCTCCACTTCAAGTGCCCTCTGTCTCTGCCTCAGCTCTCCAGCCAAGGCTCTGTGCCTCTGGGGCAGTTGATGACCAAGCATGGCAGAAGCAAAGGGCCCCCCATTTCTGCCCAGCAGGGGCATCCTCTGGGGGCCACCTTCAGTCTGGGGCTCCCAGTCAGCCTGGCTGAGACATCCTCTGAGCTGCACAGCAGGCCGAGACCCTTGCTCCCTCATGCTCCTTTCTTCCCCTCTCCTCTCACGGGTGTCAGACCAGCATCACGATGTGAAGGCTGGCCTGCACCCTCCAGCTGCCCCTCCGCCTTATGCAGCACAGCGGCACCACCTCCCTAGTACATCCTGACTCCATCATGGCGTTCCTTCCCGAGGACCCACGCTGACACCACTGACAATGTGTAAGGATTGGCTTCTGGTGGTACTCAGCAGCAGGGTCTGTGGCTAAGTAGTTTCTGAGCTGAGCTCCCAAGCTTATCCAAATCTCTCATTTTATAAGGGGAAGTGTGAGGCTCAAAGAGGGCAAGCCACTTGCCTGAGGCCACACACTCAGTGGTAGCAGAAGCCAGGCCACACCCAAGTGCCCCCTCCGTCTCAGATAGCAGCTGACCTTCATTGTCCCCACCCTCAGCCAAAAGCAAGCGCAGAGCAGACGTGTGGCCTGGACTACCTTTCCTGCTCTCCAGATTTTCTCAGGGACAGGGTTCACAGTTCCCCAAAATCTGTTGGGGGAAATTGCATCCCAGCTCTTGGAAGGCCTGCCCACCTTCTTCCCATGCAGCCATTGCTGCATCAATACGCGCTGTGCGGTGATACTGGCGCCAACTCCCACTGCCCTGTGGTCAGCTGGGCGGGGACCAGAGCTCAGAGAGAAGCACTTTCCAGAGGAGCAGAGGGGGTGAGGGAGGTGAGGAGGAAGACAGCAGGCCACAGATTCTCATCACGTTTTCCCCTCCTGCGCTTTCAGGCGCTTAAACAGCAATAAAAGAATGTGAGATTGTCAGCATAAATCAAGAAAATCGGAATTCTGCTGAGCTGGGGGAACATTGGACTTGAAAGAGCTATTTGCTAAACGTGAAAGGAGCCCTTGAAAGTGTTCCTGCAGGCCTCTTTCCTGCCCAAACAGCTCAGGACTGACTACTTGGTCACCTGGAATCAGGGTCTGCACACGGGCTGGTGCTGAGGACATGGCCTCGGGGCTCAGGGCAGCCGTGTTTGGGCTTCACTGTGCCCCACCTGGCACGGCCCTGCAGGCAGCTGGGCAGGTGGGTCCTGGCACCAAGTTGAGGGAGGGAGGGATGAGGAGATGGCATGGAGGTAAGGTCCCTGCCGTCCATTCTTCTGTAAGCCCCCAGAGGGCAGAGCCAGAGCTCATCTGTTATTCATCTCTACGTTTCTCTCAGCCCTTAGCATAAGGAAATTCCTGCTCATAGGATGTTTGCTGACTGTGTGAATAAAAGAAATAGAGAGAAAGACAGGAGGGAAGAAAGAGATTAGGAGGAGGGAGGGAAGGAGGGAAGGAGGGAAGGGAGGGAGGGAGGAAGAAGCAAACCCCTGTATTAGTCCGTTTTCACACTGCTATAAAGATACCACCCAAGACTGGGTAATTTATAAAGGAAAGAGGTTTAACTGACTCACAGTTCCCATGGCTGGGGAGGCCTCAGGAAGCTGAGGAGCATGGCCGAAGGCAAGGAAGCAGCAAGGACCTTCTTCACAAGGAGGCAGGTCGGAGACAAGCCCAGGAAAACTGCCACGTTGAAACCATCGGATCTCACGAGAACTCACTCACTATCATGAGAACAGCATGGGGGGACCTGCCCCGGTGATCCATCCCCTCCCACCA